CAGCGAAGAGAGTTCGTGGTATGGATTATTGAACATCAACAAGTGTACAAAAGTGGATGCTGATGCTTCGAGCAAAATCATCCTAACCGATGAAGCACATATTCACCTTGATGGCTTTGTTAATCGCCAAAATTGACGTATTTGGGGTTCGGAGAACGTGTGATTGTCAAAAAAGAAATGCACCCACAACGTGTCACTGTTTGGTGCGGATTTTGGGCTAGAGGCATCATTGGACCATACTTTTTTGAAAAAGAGGCTGGTGAAGCAGTAACTGTTAGTAGTGCTCGATATCGCGACAGTTCTTTCTGCCGAAATTGGATGTGTCCAATATGTGGTTTCAACAAGACGGTGTCACATGCCATACAGCCAGTGAAACAGTTCAATTAGTGCATGAGACATTTTCCGTTTCGGTGATCAAAATTGTCCACTTAGATCGTGTGATTTAATACAATTAGATTTGTAATTTAGGTTTTTCGGGCTGTTGAGCCGTGGTCGGGTTGGATTTGGTCCAGAGCTTTCGGCTTCATCTACGGTAGCCATCTTCAGTGGCGCTGTCGGCGAGAGCGAAGTGCTCGGCTTGGTGGGTCGACTGAAACTGATCGGTTAACTGGATGAGCGTGCGGTTTTATAGGCGATCGGCGGACTGAGGTCTGAGTTGTCTGGTGGGGGTACTCTGGGCCTCTTGACTGACGTGGCTTTTGCACTGTGTTTTTTTAGAATTGGGAACCACGTTTTGTTTAAAGCAAGGCATTCTTCTTTTCTATTGAATTTATCATTGTGTTTGTACATTTCAATTGCTTCTCTGTACATTCGGGCTGAGTAGTGGGTGGATGTTGATAGGACTTCAGTTTGGTCGAAAGAACATTTTGGCCGTCTTGGAGTGCGTGTTCGCGGCCACCACTGATTTATCAGTTTGTCCCAGTCGACAGGTTCTTTCATGCTCCTTGATGCGTGTTTGGAAGCTACTTTTAGTGGTGTCTACGTATACTTTACCACAGGAACACGGTATTCTGTATACGCCGGCACCGCTCAGGGGGTCCCTAGGGTCCTTTACTGATGTTAGGAGTTGTTGGATTTTATTTGTCGGCTTGTAGATGGTCTTGACGTTGTGTTTCTGAAGCAACCTTCCGCATGAATGTGAATGTTGTTAATCGAAATTTATGAGGAGATAGCTTATAGGGGTTTTCTATTTTCAACCAACCCAACTCATTAATTTTGCATGAAACTCAATCATATTTCTCTACTTTGGAAACAAATCTCAAGCAACAACTCTGATTTTTTTGCAATCTATATCTTAAAAAGATAATAAAGCGTGACAACATAATTTAAAATATGTATGAAACGCCAGATACTCGCAAAGCATTGTGCGCAAATTAAACTTTGCTACCTATACCACCATTTCGATAGAAAAGCCTCTTTACAAGATTCTTTTTGATACGACATTTGGCAACAGAGCGATGGTCAACGAAAAGCAGGTAAACCGTGATCCCTTGAACATTGCATGTGCAATTGAGTATTTATGAAGTTTACCGCCACAAGCGGTACAAGTCCGATGCAATGCAACGGGCATTTCATTTGTTTCGTGCCGTTCATAGCCAACTGCATTGTGGCGACCTGGAACTTCCCACCGGCCAAACAAAGAAACGTCTTGGAAGGAATTTCACCATGGCAAGCCGCGACTTGCACGTAGGAATTTTGTATTTTTAAGAGGAAGAACTAGATTTCGAGCTCGTAAGCTCTCAGTATATAACGGATGAGAATGGCAAACATTCCAATAAGGGAAAGAAGCGAAAGCTGTACGAGCATTTGCAACGGACATATAATATTTATTGTCTTTTTCACGAGTATCCATTACATTAGAGTAACAGCTAAAGGGTCTAGTAGTATTTCAAAATTCCCTATATCGACAAATGACACATAATTCTGACGGATCTGTCAACTCCAGTTAGACAGAGTCGTATTTTATTTTGTTTTTTGTAGGATACAGATTCAATTTCTACTTGTTAAAAACTCTTTATTTAGAAAGGTTCGATTGCATACAAAAAACGCTAGAAACAAGTTTAACTAGATTAACATCCGATCCATTATTGCCATCGTTACAGACTAGGATGTCACTAGCTGGACAGCAACAAACACCTTACCTCCCGCTGAATCTGAAATGGACCAGTTTGTCAGAACAAATCTTGCTTCCCATTTCATTCATTCGAGCTTGTCAGTTTGGAACCAGGCTACTAGATGTTGCAAAGTGGTTGTAAGATGAGCGCTATGAGTCTCAGGACATAAAAGCGCTCGACCAATAATGGATCACTTCTCAACCTAGGTATGCAATGTACGAGCAGGACCATTAATCTGTTGGTCATTATTAAAAACTGGTAATCGAGATAGTCGTTTTTCACCAAGCGTAAGGTTCTAATAAGAGACACCTTCAAACAAAATCAATATGGTTTTGAGCAAACCACATTTATTTTTGCGAAAACCAGTGGCGTACAGTTTTTCGCTAAACATAAGCCTTAAAACCCCCCACAAATGCGGAATTTCCGAATTATGTTTATATGATTTTTTTCATATTCTCACGTACCTAATCCGCCCTTAAGATATCTTGGAAATACTCTGTAACACTCTGTATGAGATGAACTGGATAAAAAAAGAACGGCAGCAGCTTTTTCTTTGACGAGGGATTTGGAAGCTATCTCTGATTGGAGACGCAACGATCTGATACAGCTTAATGCTTCTTTGACTAGACTAGACTAGACTAGACGTGCTCTAGTGCTCATCTGGTTTCGATGGATGACGAAGTTCTACCAAAGAGCCATTCATTTCGGCTGGTTGGAGTACAGATCACCGAGAGCTTGATTTGACATACGAGCACATCTCGTCAATCGCAACTGCTGATGCTGCTGCTGCTCACATGTTTGGGGTGCTGCCGCCCCAACTACATTGCCCATAATCGAAGCTGTTTGCAGGAGGACTATCCGACTGGCTGATGACCCTTCTCTAACGGATAGTCTCGGGACACTTTAGCTGACCCTCTTCGACCGTTACGTCAAGGGGCTTTGCTCCTCAGAGCATGGCAGATGTAGGGAAAATATGTGTGACTTATTATGACTAACAGGTAGTAGTAGACATTAGTAGTAGACATTTATTTACTCCATTATATAAGAACAATAACGACATAGAATGGGTAAATAAATGAATGTTTCAATCCATAGAAGGACAATGCCTGTACATGGATCAGTCGTATGTTGGAATGTGTTCCAAAATCAAAACAAAAAAATTAAAAGAAACTTAAAGTAAAACTTATATCAAAGAGATGTGTAGAGGATGATAATTTTAAGGAATATTTGATAGAAATTCGATAATGTGTTGTCTTCCTGTTGCGCGTATCAATTCTGATAATTTCTTTTCAAAATTGAGTATATTTCGAAATTGTTTTAAGTCTTTGGCTATGTGTGCATATGATTTTGGAGCAAAATAGAGAAAAGATCACTTCATTATTATTTTATGAGGTATATAGTATCACTGAGATCAGCAGCTTCGAGGTCTTTCACTGACATCAAATATGCAACAATTTACAACCATTTACCGCATACAGCTTGCAATCTACAATTTTCATCCCTTCCAAACAATGTCTCAAAATGAGCAGGAATCTCTCAAACGTTGTAACACTATGTTCCAGCAAATTTATTTCCACCGCCTCTGAATCACTTTTCAAAATCTACGACTACCTGGACGATGGAAGTATTAAGCTCGAGATAATATTCGAACTTCAATTCACCAGTTTTCTGTTGCTTAAAGATATCTGCTCACATGTGCATGGTTCTCATTTATGTTGGTTTGTCAGTCCGTGTCTGTTGTATATCAATATGTGTCATAAGTAGTGAGTCAATCTACTTAACCAAATGTCCAGGGAACCATCATAGAGGGGGAAACACAAATTAATGGTTAGACGTAATGGGTGGTACATTTAAGGATCATAATATTCAGAAAAATATGTCAAGATATAAAAACAGTCATTATCTACAAAAGCATCGCTGAACGTTAAGGAGATATGTACTATTCAAATATTGCTAAAATATATAAATATGTCTCCTGTACCGGTTTGTCAGTGATGACACTTCCGCAGACCACTTGGAGTTTGTTACCCACTGCACAGTCGGCAGTGGCCTCCACGATGATGCAGCATAATGATAGAACGTCTTTGACTAATTCTAAGGACGTTACATTTACACCCCCTACCCCCTACAACCCCTACGAAAATGATCAGGAGCCTCTGAAACGTCAAGAAACGAAATTTGAGCTGTTCGTTTTTTTTCGTATTTTTACTCCTAGCTTCGCCACCACTAGACCGATTTTCAAAAATTACAAATATTTTTCATCCTTGGCATAGTAGTAACTTTGTGTGAAGATGTCACCAAAATCCAAGCGGTACTCCTCAAGTTATAGACAGTTATAAAATAAGCGAACAGACAGACCGTTGGAAATGAGTGACATGGTTTTTCGCGATGCACCTCATATAACATCAAAAAAACATAATATCTCAATGACGAAATTTTTCGCGATTAGACTACTTTCTCGCCAGTTTAGGCATAGGTAGTAACACTGTTATGTAGGCATTTAAACAGTTTGCTTTGCGACTATCCATTTCCAAAATCCATTTTGTGGAAAACGTTTGGTTTCCATAGTCAGTGTAAGAAAAGTTTCGCTGGGTCCATGTGCGCCGCGGGAATCTTTTTCCAGGGGGATCGATCATCGTCAAGTAGATTTTTTTGTGAAGGTATATCAGCTCCCAAAGCCTTTTGAAGAACCGGGGCTCAGGCGGTGAATCCCAAAAATCAGCTAAATATGCAAATTTTAATGGTCAACCGATTTCATAAAGGAGCCCTCCCCCTGGCCCTCATGCAGGCACCTATAGTCTTAACTGATTAGCCTTCCTTCATACAAAATACAGAATACTAAGGACTAAATAGAACTCTAAAACCTAATGACGAAAATATACTTACAGCCTAGAGCAGCAAAACATCGAACCACAACACGTGATATAGTAAGCAGAGATTAAGTAACAGTCAGTAAAAAAATGTCACTATATTATTTTTCTAGCGACACTTCTTATCACGTTACAGAACAACTGGCCATTAGGTGTCAATGGACTCGCTTAGAATACCGTTTGTTCAAATTTTTATGCTGAAAAAGGAGAAAGAATTCAAGTTCAATATACATTTTGCATACAGGGTGGTGTGAGCAAAAAACTGTGTGACAAAGTTTGCACAATTCAAAGGCCACTTCCAGCTCCGCATTGTTTCGCATAATTACAGCGCCACCAACAACTTCCGGCTTTCTCTCACTTGCTTCATTTGTAACTTAATATAACTTACAGGGATGGTAAAACAAACAACACCAATAAGTATAGAGCTTATTCTAATTGATTTAACAACAAATTTACCCATTTAAGTCATATAAAATTACATTACAATACAAAAACGAAAATTGTTGATGGGACTATGGTTATGTTCTCCAGAATATGTTGAAGTTTGAAAAAGGAATAAATGTCGGAGAGGGTAAATAAGGGAATTGTGTGCCTTTGTTAAGAAATATAATTTTTAAAATCTAGTCCCACAGCTCAGCGAAAATTCTCAACTTCATGAATTGGAGGAGAATGAGTCTTTATCCAGATCATCAATACGCAAGGGTTTTTGAAAATCTTCTCATGGATGTCCGCAAAATCTTTATAGAACTTTAGAAGGCAGACTTTGAATCCCTGAATATGTCCTAGGATCAAATTCATAACAGATTTTGCTTTCCGCTTTTACAATCCAATGACAGTTGGTAATTTGGGTCGCTGAATTTTAAGATAAACGTAAAAAATCGCGAGTGGGACCGGATGGTAAAGTACACCATTTTTATAATAAAAAATATTTGCCTCAAAGACCTACAAAGCTTGAATGTGTGTAAGTTTAGCATTATTTCTTATCATGTACTTCTAACAAAAAAACTAAAGGTAGGCATAAATCAATCCAAAACATGAAAAAGGTTGGTGTTACCCCTCCATAATTATCATGACGAGAGCCTAATGTGTGAGACTCTATGTTTAATGATGCACTATCATTTCGTTCGACGTTTTTTGCGTATCAAACAAACAAAACAAAGGCAATCTAAATACTGTAATAACAATTCGCAAATTACTTGATATATTTCCGGGTATTACTTACCTGACTTTTTCAGAGGTACGATTACGTTGTGTAACGCGTAAGACTTCTATACGAAAAAACCACAGCTTTCCTTGAAAAGGCGATTCTGAGAATTTTCAGCTGTTATTGTTTTGGTTTTCGCACCAACACTCGAGATCCTCGTTGTCATATTGCTTTATTTCTGTAGGATTGTGAGGGAAATGTTTTTCTTTTGATAGTACAGTAGTTTTATGTACCTATCCCAACTCAACGCTTTATACAAATTAATGATTTTGTCTGCCAGATATCTTGAACCTACCTTGGTAGGTACTTAGTAAGATGACAGGTGAATAATATTCATGTGTCGACCTCCTCCTAAAACTTTGCCTGACTGTTATTTACAATTTCCAAGGAAAACGTTACAGTTACTCTGCCCGCTACCGCTAGAACCCAAAGATAGTTTCAAACCACGCATTTTTCTTAAAAAGGTCTATATTTTGTGATCAGCTACGAAATTCTAAATAATATTTGCTTTTATAAAGTGTCTTGAAAGGTGGAACTTTTTTTCAGAATTAACTACGTTTGAAATAACAAAGCTAATTTGCGGTAGAACATCACCGAAAACGTAATGAAGAAATCGAAGAAAAATACTTACTATGGATTTGATACGGCATTTCCAGTACTGCCCTGTGTAAAATTAAAGTAACAAAGTTATAGCCCTTTAGAAGTTTGAGTACCGCCCTGTCTCAATAATAATATGTGCTCGTGTTTGGCAACAACGGATATAATCGGAAACAAAAAAGCGAAAGAATTTGAAACGCTTATCACGATGTTTTATTCATTTATTTTATTCAGTTGTATTCATTCGATGTGTCAGTCGGTAACGCGTGAGTGGTGTTTCTGCGTGGCTCAAACGAAATAAAAAATGGCACATGTTTACGAAAATGCTGAACTTGTGGACATGATTCTGATTTTACAAAATGCTGCTACGGCAACACGGATTTATGCGGATCGGTTTCCCAATCGAGTGCAACCAACCCCTAGTGCCTTTGTTAATGTAGTACAAAGGGCTCGTGAATCAGGTGACTTAAGTCCTCACACGGGAGGGTATGTGCTCCAAGACCGCACGATCAAATACAGGTCCGCACTGAAATACTTGTCGGGGGGATATTTTATAAAACAAGGTAACATTTTTTTTCAATTTTTTTTTTAATTTTTACACACGTATTTTGGTTTATCTTCCTTCTACAATCATTATCTGAAAATTAATGACTCAACTTCAAAGTCACCCTGTATAAGCAAACCTACGCAGCTCTGACGGAAATATCGAGGACAACGACGATGTTCTGAATACTCAAATGCACTCGCGGAGTATCGATAGGATCTTGAAGATGCTCACAGTAAACTAACATTAAATCGACAACTACGTTATTGCTGGAGGAATGCGCCAATTTCGGTTTTCATATGCGATTTGTTTTTCAACTAGGTTAACCTACACGCCGCGCGGCTCCTGATTTGGATACAATTAGTACCACAAAACCTCATACCCTTTGATGTAGTAAGGGAGGGATTGCTTATTTAAAGTTTTTCGGAACTTAATATTCGGTTATCTTGAGACTTTGGTTTCTATGTTACTAGAAAAACTTGCTTATTATTGCCTGAACTATACGCTCTGTAAAGGAAAGTCAAAATTTTGAGAACACTTTATATGTTGTCGAATAAATGTGTAAAAGTGTAAAAATAAGCCTCATTTGCTTGTAACAACGGAAAATGAAATCAATATGTTATCCTGCACACAAAAAAGAGCACAAGTTTATATGAATTCATGACATTGATACGAGATCACAGGTACTTGAAACGGAGTAATTTCACTGTTTCAGAGAAATATAGCTCTCACAATTAAGAAATGGACTAGAACAAATATGTCTTCGAAACATACCTACCAGTCACGATCCTGAATTCAAGTTAGTTACTCTTGAATCAAGCACCCCTTTCTATGTGTGCAAAATACAATATTTTGAGGTTTCCTATGGAAAAATAAAAACCTCTGAGCGCTATGATCTACGCTGGAATTTTTTTTAAAGTCCTACCTAAAGACAGCGACTCATATTACCTAAGTACGGGGTGTGTCTCTATAAATCGACCTCCTCTTAACTTCTTAGCGTGACCATTTAGAAAAAAAGTCATATGTAAAACTTGTAGGGTCCAATATAAAGTTTTCAAGGCAATATCCATTTTATATAGAAAATACCCTGTATATCTTTAGTCAAAATGTTAGTCGCTTTTTTATTCCAAATATAAACGGTTTATTATGAGTATTCTCATTACTTTATTAAAAAAATTTAAAATGTATGTCATTTAATCATGTGTATTTCGCCCTATACCAGAATGCATAGGTGGCTAGATACAAACTCTTTTGAACTCTGATACACATCAATTAATGGCATACAAAATTTAAGTTTTTGACCAAACTAATGAAAATAAGATTTATAAACCATATTTATATATGTATATATGGTATTTTTATAAAAAAGCGAAAATCATTTTAACAAAAAAATATGCCCTTGTTGTTCCTTCAACTTCATTCGATAGCACTTTTCTGAGATAATAAAAAATATATTGCACGTAAACCTTTTTGTTAGACCCAACAACTTTTTTATAAAGCCTGTACCTACATCAAATTTCTTTTCCTAGTATATTATACTCAGTGGTTTTAGTTTCTCTGTATCTTTGCCAGCAAAACTATACTTCCACCGGGCTATTGAACTGATAAGCACTCTACGAAGGGTGAGCGCGTTAATTTGGCAACACCGCCTGCGAAAAACTCAGCCAGCTGAAGGTCGTAATGAAAAATCAATACTGTCACTCGACCCCATTCGGCTCTCATTGGTCATGGTGTGCTTTGACTAGCTCCTTGCTCTAGCGCCCTATTAGCTCTGGATACACGATGCTTCTTAATTAATTCTTTGTTAATTCAGTATGCGAGAAGTAAAGGGTGTTCCAAAATAGGTACTCAGAAATTTTTGTATTAAAGAAAACCAACAATTGAAAAATATCATGCTTTACTACTCCGTCTGTACCAACGAATTCGAAAAGATTAGATGGGACCAAACCTATATTGTTGGTCTCCAAAGTTGGGTAGTTTTAGTGCTACCAAATGGAACAGCGTCGAATCAACATACTAATACTTGCCGGTCTAAACATCTACCATCATTAGGCTTGTACTGGTCTTTGTAAATTGTGTAAGAAGTAGCACGTCTTGAAATCGTCTAACACCGCAATAATCTAAAACTACGAATTTAATGATAGAACTGACAAAAAATGACTTTTGTCAAGTGCACTTTGACCCTTACTACGAACTATGAAAATATTCATTGTTTAACGAACCTAACGCAAGATTCTAAGATACACTTTCAAACAGAACCAAATCCTTGACTTGCTTCGTCTAGCTGTCTAGCTAATGAATTCGTTGTTTGAAACCCATGGGCTCCGGCTTGATGGGGGCAGTCAAATGTTCAGAAAACGAGCGAAGCTACTATAGAAAGGACCCCTTCCATGGCGGCTAGGACGTGGTGAGTTTCAAACCATTAGAGTAACTGACACTCAGTGTTGTTAGTTTTGTCTACTGTTTCGTGCTATAAGCCCAAACACGTATTCATTAATTTTTTGGCCCTATTTCGTATAATATCGTGTATACTTGACCATATTATCGTTGAATGGTCAACGTTTAACGATCTGGTTATCCACGTTTGATCGCATCGTAAAATAGAGCGTCCATAAAATATTTAATAAGAATCCTGAATAACTCACGAACTCGATTATTGTTTTTTAATAAAACGAAGATCTTAGGGAAACTAAATTTTAGCCGGCCACCATGTCCAAAAGCTTACTGCACTTCCTTTAAAACTGTATAGTATTTTTCGCTTGGAATTATTCCTTCAGTAGGATAGTCGACGCATTTTTTCTTAAATACGAGTATAAGGTGTTCCTTATCTGCAGTTTCCATATTATCATACATCGGCGATGTACATCAGTAATGATAATAATCCAATGACTGGACTTGCGTGGTCACCCTGCTCTCATTTATTTGACGTATAACCTAAAAATGTAATAAAAAATACGATGAGTCTTACATTTCACATACGTAAAATCATTAGTTCACTTTATTAATAGTCAAATAAAAGCTTATTTTCAAAAATATATTTTTTGTATTTATTTGACATTATGATCGGTATTCGCGTGGCCTGCATATAATACTCGAGAACCTTTTTACTGTAAAATCTTCAAATCTCACTTTCTTCTTCATTTGGTAACGAATTATTGAAATTTCACTAAGAAAAAGAACTTTGTTATTAACGACCGTCATATTGACACGTAAGCAAAGTGCCCCAGCGCCTGTATCGGTAATTAATGTAATTATTTTACGATTTGATACACATCACGATTTGTTATCATTGATCTGGTAGTTAACCCTCATCATAATCTGGTGAATGGATAATGCTAAATCTCATGAAATGTGACAATGTCATGAAATGCTCAATTTCACGATATGGCCATGACGTAGGTAAGTCTTTCTGAAAATAAGCCTTCATAATCGCATATTCCTATCTAATGTGATTTCTGAAACTTGTCCTGTGGTTGTCTTTCTGATCCATCCCTCATACGCTGGCCAATAAATGAAACCACAGATATTGAATGTTTTGATTTCCTGACGTCTGGTCTGCCTCGGCAGCTTTTCTCAAAGTACAAATCAAAATTACCCTTATGAAATTGGAAATTTCCACTTCCCCATGTAAAAGTTTTTTTACTTTCCACGCCACTGGCGAGGAAATATTAGGGTACGTACATAGTGAAAGATGCTTACTGTGAAGCCTTCTTCGCTCGATGAACTCTTCCTCGCGACTTTCTACATGGATGGAGGGTGTTCATACTGAATTCACCCTCGATGTTTTCTCTTCTCTCCTTGAACGCGGTTCTTAATGTTTCATTTGTACACGAGCGAATAATAAGGCAGGATGTTCTCGAGTGAAAGTGACTCTGAGAGTGATTTGTGTCTAGTAACCAAGTGGTGGATGTTTAGTTTTCTACCAAATCGAAAATACTGTACGCATCCAGTAAACAAAGCGAAACAGGAACTTGGAGAGTACCACCATCTTTTCCTCGTATTGAAGAGAGACAAGGAAAGATTCCACTCCTACATGAGAATGTTGTAACGGTTTCACCGTCCGATTGTATTACGTTGCTAATGCACACGGTTCTTTTTCAGATTGGGGC